CTCTCTCTCTCTCTCTCTCTCTCTCTCTCTCTCTCTCTCTCTCTCTCCTTTATTTCTTTGTTTATTAAATTTATATGCTGCTCGTTTTAAGGAGGGAAGGGAAGCATGAAGCTTTTCTGGTTGAATGACGGCCTTCCTTCCTTTTCCTCCCCAGCAATTTTCTACCCTCCTGGAGGTGCTTTTCCAATTCCTGCAAGAACCCAAAGAGGTAATCCACTTTGGGGAAGGGGAAGAAGGGGAGAGGGGAGGGCAAGTAATCCAAAAAGGAGGGTTGGTTGACCCCCCCGCCCCCTTGGATGAAGACCAGCTGGTTTTTTTTCTAGTGCGAATGAAGGCAGTTTATGGGCAACGTGGAAAATATTTCTTCTATATCACAAAGTTTTCAATAATAGCATTATAGGTAGTCCTCGACTTACGGCCACAATTGGGAGCAGAATTTCAGAGTGTGTGTGTGTGTGTGTGTGTGTGCGTTTGTGTGCATACACACACACAAAATACTTAAATATCTATATATTATATACACATATATAGCAAGGAGCCTGGGCGTGGCTTAGCTCAACTGTTCTATGCTAAAGCTGCTTGGTGGTCTGAAACTGAAACTGAAATGGAAACTCCTCTGCTTGCGTTTTGCATTTGGAAGAGATTTCTTTTTTTTTCAGGTCGGTGAGTAGATCTCCTTAGCATCAGAGCATGTTAATAATAATAATAATATAGGAAATACTCTAAATGCCCTGATGGTCATTTTGAAAAATCCTTTCTTAGTGAGCCCCTAGAAGCCATGAGGGACATATGGGCCAAATTTCAAGTTTGTAGGCTTTGCGGTTCGGGAGATTTTGTGATGATGCGTGAGGGGTATTTCGCTTTTATATATATAATATGTATATATGTTTTCTTAAGTTTTTGCGGATACTTACATGTATGGCATTCAGCTTTGTTCGGGTATTTTCCCATGTCATTGTAGTTGTAGGCTACAACTTTAAAAGCACAACTACAATGATGTGGGAAAATACCCGAACAAAGCTGAATGCCATACCTTTGTATATATACATACACACACACACACACACACACACAGAGAGACACACACACACACATATTTCCCCTTTTGCAGCCTTTTCACAAAGTCAATGGGGAAGCCACATTCAGTGTTACTAATTTTACAACTGCAGTGATTCACTTAGCAACAGGGGCAAAAGAAGCCCGTAAAATGGGACAGAAGTCCCTTAACAAGTATCTCGCTTAGCAGCAGAATTTGGGGCCAAATTGTGGTCGTAAGCCGAGGCGTCCCTTGGGTGCTCAGTTCTGCTGGCCTTTTTCCTTCCTCCCCCTTTTCCGAATCGCCTGGAGGGCAACGAGATTTGGAAAGAGGTCTCAAAAGGGATCCTGTTGGGAAAACCCATCGACCGCTATGAGGCTTCCTCCGAGGAGACTCCCATGGAGTTGAGCTGAGCAGGGCAGCTTCTCCCTCTGAGACTCACTTAATGTACTGTTCTGACCCGGGCTTCCCAAAACCACGAAGCCGATTCCTCATCCCGACAAAACCCCTTTTATTTAGGCTCATGTGAATTCATCTCATTCGCATCCAGCAAAGTCCTGGCAAACAGTCTTGCAAGGGTGAATTTACAACCACAGACCTTGATCGGGCTTGGAGAGTTGCCAGGCTGATAGATTCCAAACGCCACGCTGTAGCAGCAATTACTTAGCAAGGAGTCAGGAACAGATCTTCACCCTCATGAATTGAACTAATTGTCTCCTGCAAATCCCACTCCCCTTTTGCTTCTCTTTATTCCCTATGGGAATAAAGTCCAAATGAGCCTTTACTCCTGAGTCGACCCTTGTTCCTTAGCTGTTCCCTTCGTCTGGCAGCTCTGTGCATGTGCACACTGGGAATAGGCTCCATCTGTTCTTCTTCCCCACTGATCTCCGACTCCAAAGACAGCTGATAACTGTCGTACGGCCCTGGGCCCATCTCTGCCTCCGAGGCAGAGCCCTCATCAGAGCCTTCTCCAGACTCCGGGACTGGCCCACGTTCCTCCCCAACCTCCTCACTGTCCACGTCTACGGCCAGCTCCGATGGCCACGGAGGGCCACAACATGTACGTGTGCAAGGGAAGTGTGAAACTTGGAGCAAAACACGTCTTTGCTTTTGTGCCTGACAGGTGGAGAGGTTCCTGGCTAACCTGTCGGAGTTTGCAACGGGGAATAAAATCAGCCTCGGCCCTTTGAAGAGTATCGTCAAAAGTCTCTTGCTGGTACCCAGTGGTAAGTGTGGAGCAGACACCCCCCCTCCCCAGGTCTGTGGTAGGTCTCGGGTGGGGCGGAGAACCGCTCTGGGAGCCACTTTGATCTTTGGGTGAAGGCACCAGCTAGAAACACAGAGAAGACGGAGTTCTAGTTTCTCCTTAGGCATGAAAGCCAGGTGGGTGACCTTGGGCCAATCACCAGGAGACTGTGAGTTCTAGTCCCCCCTTAAGCATGAAAGCTGGGTGACTTTGGGCCAATCCCTAGGAGACTGGGAGTTCTAGTCCTGCTTTATGCACAGCCAGCTGTGTGACTTTGGCCCAATCACCAGGAGACAGTGAATTCTAGTCCCATTTTACCCATATCTATCTATCCATCTATCTAACATCTCTCTCTCATCTGTCT